TCTGCGGTTAATAAGCATAATTTTACTTTCAATTTCTCTTGGTCCACTTCCAAATTGATTCCTAATTCCACCATCAGGTCTCGTCCCAAGAGGTATATTCAGCTTCAGGGACCAATAAAAAGGTTCCCACCCTGTATTTGTTTGGGGCTTCTATTGTTACATTCCTTACCAGGGGCACTTTGACAGGTTCCCCCTTTGCACCAATTACTTGGAGTGTATCTTTTGATTTAACACATCCAGATGGTAATCTTTGGACGGTTGATCTCTCGGCGCCTGAGTCCACAAGAAACTCGAACACCTCATGCTGAGGCTCAATTTTATCAAGGGCTCTGTGTTTCCCTGGGTCCCCAGCAAATAGAGCCCCTGACCCCCCTAATCCTCCTTAAAAATCCTTTCATCCTGCGCCCTCTTCCGGCAGTTTCTCTGAATGTGTCCCTTCTTATAACAATAAAAACATTCTATGTTTTGTGAATCACCCTTCTGTTTCCTTGGCTCCACTGGACCCCTTTGGGGACCTTCCCTTCTCCTGGCTTGATTTTTCCCCTCTTTCACTGCTGCCATCAGAATTCTGGCTTGTTTCTTCTGATTTTCTTCTTCCCTCCTTACGTATACCTTTTGAGCTTCTCGGAGTAGCTCATCTAACCCTCTCCCCTGCCAATCCTCTATTTTCTCTAACTTCTTTCTGATATCTATCCACAATTTAGCCACAAATTGAGTTTTTAATAGAGCTTGACCCACTTGGCTATCAGGGTCTAACCCAGAATACAACCGCAAACTTTTCCTTAATCTTTCTAGCCATTCAGTGGGGGTCTCATCTTTCTTTTGTTGCTCATTAAAGGCCTTATTAATGTTCTGCCCCCGGGGTACAGAGTCTCTAATCCCCTGAATTATCATATCCCGGAGGTCAACCATGTTATTTCTATGTGTGGGATCCTGGTTATCCCAGTTAGGCCACTGCAGGGGCCATTTACTATCTCCATTGGCACCAATCTGATGCCTCTGATCCCAGTATCTCATGCCTGCCATTCTGATCATTCCTCGTTCTTCGTTTGTAAACAAGATTTTTAAGATAGACTCCATCTCGTCCCAAGTATAAATGTTAGGCCCAAGGAATTCTGCTACCCCCAATGGGTCCTCTAACAGGTGTCCCATTTCTTTGGGATCCTGGTTATCCCAGTTAGGCCACTGCAGGGGCCATTTACTATCTCCATTGGCACCAATCTGATGCCTCTGATCCCAGTATCTCATGCCTGCCATTCTGATCATTCCTCGTTCTTCGTTTGTAAACAAGATTTTTAAGATAGACTCCATCTCGTCCCAAGTATAAATGTTAGGCCCAAGGAATTCTGCTACCCCCAATGGGTCCTCTAACAGGTGTCCCATTTCTTTCTTAAACTCCCTCACATCCCCGGAGCTGAGAGGTACAGATACAAATCCAACTCCGGGTTGTGGTCCCCCCATAGCCATTTCCCTTAACAGATACAATTGGTTTTCCTCCCTCCTTTCTCTGGTTTGACTCCTTGTTATTTTTCAATTAGGAGGAGCCTCTTTCTCAGGTTCTGAGGGGGCTGTTGGAGGGAGATTTTGCTCAGGACTTTGTGGTGGTGGGGGAGGGGGGACATAGGGTGGGGGAGACGCTGGAGGTTCATTTACATCCCACCTTTTCTTCTTATCATTTTTCTTTTCTTTTAATGGAAACAGATCAGCGGTCTGGGACGTGCCCAGGATCTACAAAAAAGCATATTCACTCTCCTCCTTATTAAATGGTTGTTTGTTGTTAACGTATATGTTTAACTGTTGGCATATCCAATCCTCTAAGGATCCATGAATTGGCCAATATAAATCTTTTCTTATCTGTTTTCCTCCCCATATTTCCGTACAATAATGGATCATTTTCTCCTTAGATTTTCCTTTCCGACATGGGTGTTTGTTGTTAACGTATATGTTTAACTGTTGGCATATCCAATCCTCTAAGGATCCATGAATTGGCCAATATAAATCTTTTCTTATCTGTTTTCCTCCCCATATTTCCGTACAATAATGGATCATTTTCTCCTTAGATTTTCCTTTCCGACATGGGGAATTATCCCAATACTGAATCATTAATCATAACGGGCTGTCTTGGGGTATATCAGGGAGCCCACCCCCACCCCGTATCTCCTGCATGGAACTAGAAGTCTTACTTTTCTTCTGTCTCATCTTCTGAAAGTGCCTTCTTTCACTCAAAATTCACTCACTTCCCTCTGTTCGGGGCCCACGCCCTCATGGACAATGGGAACCACACTATTAGGAGGTCCACACTCACTTCGTCCAGTGGGCTACTAAGCCCAGTGGATGTCTCAGTCACTTGCACCCCGGGTACCCAATCCCCGACCGAACGGAACCCCAATATACTCACTCACTCCTGAGTCTTCGTCCGGCTCTTCGTGCACAAAAATTACAGGGAACTGCAGTATCTCTTTTCTCTTTCTTTTTGCTTTCCTATCTCAGTTCAGAAAATCCAGGTGAGCTAAATCGGAATCTCCTCCGGGACCATCCGAAGATGGGGCGCCCTCCCAGAGTTGAATTCCGAGTCAGCTGTCTGAATCTGGGTCACGGCACCAAATTTGTAATAAAAAAAGACTAAGTCCGAAATAGATTCACTAAATATTTATTAAGGTAGGAAAGCAAAAGCAGCGCTGGGCGGCCGGGGAGTCGCAGCTCCACCAAGGGCTGGCAAATTCAGGCCAGCTGAATAGCTCTTGTTATCCTCACGGAGGTCGGGTTCGACACCTTCCGTACGCCCCTCTGCTTCTCCGTTACCTTTACTCCATCTGGTCTGTCTTGCTTCCAGGCGGTTGTCAATGAGTTCATACCCTTCCCCTTCTGCATGATTGATTAGTACAGAGTTGAAAGAGAGATAACATTGGGGTTAAGCTTAGATTGTCAAAATAGGAGATTCCCATGTGGTTTGGCACTATAATATTGTGGACGTCTCTTCTTGTTAGGAAGTTCTCAAGACTGCCACAACGGGCTCGTTTCTCTTGCTTAAATTGTTTGATCAGTAAATTACAATCCGGCTTGAGGCGAGTTTTCCAAGTGGTGGTGGCACATTCAGCTTGTGCCATCTCTTCCATGCATTTGGTTAGTACAAAGAGAAACATTCCCTTACATAGACACATTTTGATAGCATTGCAGTTTGTGTAAGTCAGGACTTTCTTACCTGATGTACAACAGAAATGGATAATCCCGAGATTTGATCAGCAACAAATCTTCTTCAGTTATTCATTACAGGGTTATTCTACCTCTTGAATTACCTCGGGCTTTTCCAGTAGTGGTTAATGCTCAAGGGAGAAGGGAATGGCAGGCTCTGGACTGGACAACTGTAAAAGAAATTAAGCAATATGGGTTAACATCTAATTATACACAGCAAATGATTGGTGCGATGTTTTCTATTGTGACTATGATACCAGATGATTATTATTGTTTAGCTAATATCTTGCTTACTCCTTTGCAAGTGTTACATTTTAAAAGGGCCTTTGAAACTTTAGCAGATCGCGCCACAGATGACAATGCAAATCATGGGGTAAATGATCCATTACGTGGTATTACCTTGGACATGTTGGTAGGACGGGGTCAGTTTAGCACAAACCAGGGACAAGTGAATATGGCTATGGAAGCTTTGAAGCAATCTCAGGAGCTTGCTTTGGTAGCTTTTAAAGTAGTTCCTGGAGCTGGAAAATCTACTCCATCTTATGTTTCGGTTAAGCAAGGACCAACTGAATTGTATATGCAGTTTATTGATCAGCTTACTGCAGCTATTGAGAGAAACATGGATCTGGCCCCCACAGCAAAGGAGTCAGTGTTGATGTCACTTGCAAAGGAAAATGCTAACCCAACTTGTAAGCGTATTTTGCAAGCTTTGCCAAAATCGGCAGGATTGCAAAATATGATGGATGCATGTGCAAATGTGGGAACAGAAGAAGAAAAGCTTGCCAATGCATTTGCTACTGCTGTAAAACTGCTGCTTAATCAAAGGAGAGGAGTTAAAGCATTCTCCTCTAACGTACACTGTTACAATTGTGGTCAGATGGGGCACCTGCGGCAGCAATGCCGGCAAGGTAGACATCCTACAGGATTTAGTGCAGGTCGAAAACCTCCACCCAAGTGTAATCGTTGTGGTAAAATTGGTCATCAGAGTGTACATTGTTTCTCACGTTTTAAGAATGATGTGACTCCTTTGGGAAACTTCAATCAGAGCGCGAGATCGACACCCTGCGTGACGACAGCAAATCAGGGTGTCTGGACCGTGTCTCCGCTGCCACAAGGGGAAGTGCCGGCGTGGACACTACTGCAACAGCAGTAGATTTTAGCCTTTCTGATACCTCTGTACATTGTATTCCATCTGTTCTCCAGGGTCCTTTAGGTCACAACCTCTGCGCATTTTTACTCGGTCGATCATCCACATCTTGAAAAGGAATTTTTGTATTACCAGGAGTTATTGATGCAGACCATACAGGCACAATTGGCATTACGGTACAAATGTGTTCTCCACCTGTAAATATTCCAAAGGGATCAAAAATTGCTCCACTAATACCCTTTGAGGCAAAAGTGCATAACAGTGATAAAAGAATTGGAGCAAATCAAGGATGGGGATCTACGGGAATGCCCCAAATAAATTTTGCTGTGGATATCTTGAAAAACAAACCAGAGGTTAAAGTCACTCTTTAAGGACCTGGAGACGAGACTGTGTCTTTGTCTGTGTTAACTGATACTGGTGCTGACTTTACTATCATCCCACATGAGAAGTGGCCCAATACATGGCCTTTAATGACACCAAATAGTGGAATAATGGGTATTGGAGGAGTTCAAATTACTCAAGTCAGTAGGCATCTGATTAAAATAATTATATCAGATGGCAGCGTCGCCAGCGTAAGACCCTATATCCTTCGCACCACTATTGCCCTATTGGGCCGAGATGCTCTTAGTCAATTAGGATTGAAATTAACAAATGAACATTTTTAGTGGCGGCCATTGAGGGACGGCCAACCTGTAAGCTGCAATGGTTAACAGAGAAGCCAGTATGGATTGATCAATGGCCGCTCACTGAACAGAAGCTGTCCCATCTCCCTCAATTAGTTGAAGAACAACAAGTACTTGGGCACATCAGGCCATCGAATAGTCCCTGGAATACACCAATATTTACTATACCTAAAACGTCTGGGAAGTGGAGATTGTTGCATGACCTCAGAGTAGTAAATGCGGTGATGAAGGATATGGGAGCCTTGCAGCCAGGACTACCCAGTCTGGTCATGATACCAAAGGAATGGAAAATATTGATAATAGATTTGAAAGATTGCTTTTTTACCATACCACTACATCCAGATGACTGTGAAAAATTTGCCTTTTCCATACCAGCTATTAACAAAAGTGAGCCATCAAAGAGATACGAGTGGGTAGTTTTACCTCAAGGGATGAAGAACTCTCCTGCCATTTGTTAACTATATGTTTCTTGGGCTCTGCAGCCACTACGCAGACAATTTAGTGCCTTTGTGATTTATCATTATATGGATGACATTTTAGTTGCCGGACAAGACTTAAATCCTAACATTGTTGTACCTATTTTTCAGCAGGAGTTAGCAAAGGCTGGATTGGTTATTGCTCCAGAAAAGGTGCAGCAACAATCACCATGGAAATATTTAGGTTGGATTATACCTGGAACTATAATTACTCCATAAAAAGTAACTTTAAATGAGAAAATAGAAACACTATCTGATGTTCAAAAATTGATTGGTGATATCCAATGGGTGTGCGTGATATGTGGTATCACTAATGATGACCTTGCACTGCTGATGCCTTTGCTAAAAGGGTCTCCCGATGTGGGAGAACCTCAACAGTTGTCTCAAACACAGAAAAATGCATTACAAAATATTATCGATAAAATCTCTATGTCCAAAGCCAGCCAGTGGAACCCCGAGCTACCAATTCAAGCTTTTGTCTTTAATGGTGGTATTCAGCCATTTGCTATCCTGGCACAGCGGGATGAAAACCAGGTTGATCCTTTATGCATCATGGAATGGATATTTTTGCCATATCGATTATCAAAAACCATTGTGACTAAGGTGGAAGCTATTGCCCAAGTGATTATCTCCCTATTATAGCAGAATACTTTAATTGGGTACTGCAAAACAATTTTGTGTTAGCCCTGGCTTTGCATGCCTTTATTGGGAATCTTACCATTAATTACTCAGCTCATTGGCTAATAAAGTTTTTACTCCGTTATGGTTTTGAAACTATTCCTAAGTCTTCTAGCAGACCGGTTAACGGACTCACTGTTTTCACAGATGCTAGCAAAAATAGTCACTTGCAGAGATGCTAGCAAAAATAGTCACGTGCTATCTTGAAGGAGGTGAATAATCATCGACTTAGTCAGCTTTTAACTGAGTTATGACAACTGATAAATTACTGTAAGCATGAGTATTTTATTGTCACATCCGTAGCCATTCTGGCCTTCCTGGTATTTTAGTGGAAGGTAACGAGCGTGTCGATCAACTGGTTGCCGCTGCATGGAATGGTCCGCCTCCTAATGCATTCCAGCAGGCTCGAAATTCACAGATGTTTTTCCATCAGGCTCCAAAAATGTTAGTTCGAAAATTTAACATTCCGTTATCAGACGCTAAAGGAATTGTTCAAGCTTGCCCTGACTGTCAAGGACAAGTGTTGGGGGTGGGCTTAGGAGCCAACCCCCGGGGCCTACGACCATTACAGCTTTGGCCCATGGATGTTACCCATGTACCCAGTTTTGGTCGTTTGAAATATGTACATGTTACAGTGGATACCTTTTCTCACGCTGTTTGGGCTACACCTTTGTCTGGGGAAGCAGCTCAACATGTAATGCTACATTTACGTGGATGTTTTGCCGTGTTAGGAGTTCCTTTTGAAATTAAAACAGATAACGGTCCTGCTTATACTTCGCAGGCCTTGAAACGATTTATGAATGTTTGGGGAGTTAAACATGTTACAGGGATTCCTCATTCCCCCACAGGACAAGCAATTGTGGAACGCGTGCATCAAGTAATCAAACAGTTACTGTTAAAACAAAAAGGGGGAGATGAAGGGAATCTGTCTCCTGTAGCACGAATACAGAAGGTAATATATGTGCTGAATTTTTTACGATTTGTGGGAACTGACACTGAGCCCCCTGCAGTGATTCACAGTCCAGCTTTGGGCTCAGGACACAAAGAACAGAAGCGAGGTATTTTGGTCCAGTATAAAGACCCTGAAACTGGAGTATGGAAAGGTCCTGCTGAGCTGCAATATAGTGGCCGAGGGTATGTTTGTATCATTACAGAAAGAGGTCCTCGATGGATTCCAGCCAGATGGGTCAGGCCATGGAAGGGTCTGGCTGAAAACCCGGTTGCCCGGGAACAAGAAAAGGAATAGCTAGCCAGCCACATCGTGGATCGACGTGCGATCACCTGTGTTGACTGTTTGAAATGCGAGCCAATATTATGGCCTTTTGGGTGTTAATCTTGTGTTTTGGCCTTCTCTGTGAGGGAGTGGAAAGTATCTTTGACATTTCACCGAGACAGAATATGTGGGTAACGTGGGTAACCAGACGGGCCAAAAGGCTTTTTGCCTGTCAATGGCTACACCTTCTGATCCTTTTCAAACATGTTTGATCGGTTTTCCATATATACACTTGAAAGATTTTGTAGGTTATGTTAGCAATAGTAGCCTGTTAAACAAGAGTTTGGTGAATGATGCTCAAGTTAATGGCACTTGTTATAGCCTTTATTACAACTCTGACCCTGGTAATCTCTGCCCAAGGACGGTCTGGACACGTTTACAAGTGACCATTGTGAATCATCTTAACTGATCATCCCCTTCGCCATTACAGGAGTTGAACTTATTACGATCTTTGCCTGGCAATTCGAATAATACCCAAAATTTGTCATTAGGGTGTATTACATCTGGGGGTGAGAAGCCTGTGTTATTTGCAAATTATGATTGGAACGTGGATTTAGGAATTTTTAGGGATCTGAAAAACGTAACACCTATTGACCCCCTAAGTCAAAATGCAAATTATTGCCAGCAAGGAGGAGCTGACATAGGGTTACAGCTTCCTGAGAAAGGAATATGGAATAACGGTACATCTAAAGCTCTTCCTCCTGGGTATTTTTTGATATGTGGTGACCGAGCTTGGAGTGGAATTCCCAGCAGTATTTTTGGAGGACCCTGTTATCTGGGGAAACTTACTTTATATGCTCCAAGCATGCTGCAATTATGAAACATGACGGGCAGAAGATCTAAACGTTCAATTAATTATTTTGCCCCTGACTGTAAAGATAAAATTCAATTTTGGAATACGCCCACCAGGGTATTTGTGGCATTATTGGCTCCTAGTGTTGCAGTAGGAAAAGTTCTAGGAGACATCGAGAAATTGGCTTGTTGGAGTATGAAGCAATTTAATCTTACCTCGAATATGATTAGCACATTATTGACAGATGTGAATGGTGTTAGGCATGCTGTTTTGCAAAATCGCGCTGCTATTGATTTTCTGCTTTTAGCACATGGTCATGGCTGTGAGGAGTTTGACGGTACGTGTTGTATGAATCTTTCTGACCATTCGACTTCGATTTATAAGCAATTAGACCAACTAGGAGCTAATATGCACAAGTTAACTACTGATCACTCGTGGTTTGATAACTTATTTGAGGGATGGAGATTAACAGGATGGTTAAAAGTGATCTTAAAGCAAGGACTGATGATTATTCTTATAGTGTTGGTAATTTTGTTATTTGCGCCATGCATAATATCTTGTGTAAAGCGATCGACACAGAAATCTTTAGAGAAAGTTTGGACTGTGCAGTTAAAACAAAAAGGGGGAATTAGGGAAAGCTTTTTGGAAAGCAACGGACATGTCAAACTGATGAACTTATGAACTTTGTGCACCAGAAGAGACAAGAGATGACCGAAATACAGAACAAGTTAGTACAGTCTGATGGTCAACATGAAGGTGGAAGTTCTGCACTGATACTGGAACAGCTGCAATGCCTAATTAAATGTTGACTGTGTGTTGTTAAAAGATTGGCTTGGTATGGATAGTAACAAAGTGTGATAATAAGTTACAGGTGTGTTTAACCAATAATAGTTTGTGTGCATATGTAACAAAGTGTGGATATCAAGTTATAGGTGTGTTTAACTGATAACAGTTTGTGTGTATATGTTTAGAGGCTAATGAGCACAATTC